ACATGAAGGAGTTTATTCATAGTTTGAGTCTGTGTCAATCCTGCAATGACAGTGTACAAGGGATAAGAAAGAATAGGTAGAGAGGGGTGTGTGAAAAAAAATACATTTTATAAAGATTGCTCAGACTCAGCTTGAAGATGGTGGAGGCAGCTGGAGTGTGTGTGCGTGCGTTTGTGTGTGTGTGTGTGGAGGGAGCTGATTGGGTGACAAAGAGAAACAGAGCGGGGAAACGGTTGGAGTCTGTTGTTTTCCAGTGGGTGTACTGCAGTAACACGGTAATCCTCATTAATATTTATCTGCCAGGCAAAGTGGAGAGAATGATTAGCTCGTGAGGGAGAGTTTGCGTACGTCCATGCAAGCATTTTCCTGCGTGAACCCCCTTCTGGGCGTGCTTGTATTAAATTAAAGCCTGGAACACATAAACTAGGTCATCTCTTACACTTAGGAGGCAAACAACTCCCATTTCTTTTTAGGTTTTATGTCATCATGGGTGTTTTTTCTTACTCAAATTGCTACAACATGAAGCCTGTAGAAAATATTTCCGAAGAAATAAACACACAGAAATCCCCCCCGCTGTCATGTTTCTCTTCGGCTGCATTATGTCATCGATTTCCCTGCTTGCACCTCTAATACGATCACATTAAACAAGACTGATTGGAATTGAATTTCAGCCCTGGCTCCGTGTCACTTGCAATCTTTCTTGACTTGACAGCTAACACAGCGTGGGCTGAGAACAAACTTATAACAAATTAAACCTGCTCAAGCCAGAGCCGTGCTGTTGCGGATAAAAGAAAGACAACTGTTCTAGTGGATGTGTGCATCACTGCTGATAATTTTCTGTGTAGGTGACCCATTTCCCTCTGCCGCTCTCCAGCGTTCGCCCCCGTCTCTGACTCTCCTGCACTCCAGTATAACATGCATGAGTGGAGATCATAGCAGGAGGAAGATTTAGAGATAGGGAGAGACGAGAGGGGCAGATTAAAGAGGCAAAGAGAGGCAGAGAGAGAGAGAGCAGCAACGTAGGAGGCACTGGGAGATCACAAAGTGAAAGTTAGCTCCTGGTTCTCCTGTGTCCTGTTTGTGTCAATGATCACAATTCATCATAAAAGGCGAGATGCCACTGCTGTGTAACCCAGTACAATTCCATTCTGACTGTTTAATTGAAGAGAAAATATATGTACTCAGGATTTCAAATTATTTGTCATTCAAACAAGAAATTTGTTTCAAATCGGAGAATATGTTGATAAAATTAACAAAAGTACTTCCAAGGACAAGAAAGCAAAGCAACGGACCCAATATATCCAATTAATTTAATGCTTTTCTTTTAATGCCACTTTTTAACGTGTTTCTTAAAGATAAAGTTAATTTCCATCTCATTATTTTAAACCAACCTGCAGGACCAAAAATTACTAGTAATGCACATCAAACGTGTTTTTCTAAATAAGCAACCTTTTGAGAAGTAAAACGAAAATTCAAATGTTGTTTCTATACAAGTTTTGTTCAGTCACAGTGATCTAATCAGTGTGACTGCACACTCCACAGCACACTCCTTTACAAAAATTTAAGGTTTAAATAAAAAAGCTTTAATGAGTGTCTGCTCATAATAAAATTCCTCATAAATATTGATTTATTGTAATTTCAAATTGATATTATTTAAATGCAAATGTCTCTTCGATTATTTTTAAGGGGGGGATTCTAGACTTTTCCAAGATTGGGGGGTTCCGGACCCCCCCAAACCCTCCAGATTTACGCCTATGCTGTCAGCCACAACACCGGGCCATTGTAAAGCCCCAAATAATTGCCTTCTGCTCTTCATTTTGTTTCTATGGTCATAGTAGGTCAGCTGACACACTGTTGCTTTAAATACCAGCCCTGTTTTGACCTTTCCCAGGATTCAGCAGGACACTGTAAACACATAGAATCATGGGAACAGTGCACTGTCATGCTTAAGCCCTTGTCTCCCTCCCTATCAGGGCAAATATTTACACCCTATTATAAATTATTGCAGCCTAAACCATCTCCAGTCAAGGCCCACTTCATTTGGAGAATTCACACCATACAGTTAGGTCTCATTCCTCATAGGCTTCTCAAGACACTAGTGATGGTACAACAGGAAACAAGGTGGTTAAATAAGAACATTAACTTTGTAATTCTTGAAAATATACAGAAAAATATCAAGGAAAAAAATCTAAAGTTGTATCAAACCAGGAATAATAAGATTATCAAAACTAATATCTGGCTTTTAAGCAACAAACATAGTAACTGTGTAATACAAAAATATTCAGACACCAGGTTTGTAGTCAAACACAATATTATGAATGGCAGAGTTCACTGAAGCTATATCGAGTTAGACTGGGTTTTATGAAAGAGCAAAAGATTATTTCATGGTAAATTTAAAGTGAAATTTCTATTTAGAAAATCATTCCTACCTAATATTATAGAAAAAGAGATTGAATAATTTTTTTGTCTTTTTTTTATTTTAAATGTTAAAGCTGACATAAAAGATCTTACTGGCTTTCAGGTCACGAAACCTGAGTTTGAACTCAGGTCTCAATATTTCAGCCTTTTCACCACTCATAAAACAGCCACCGTTCATAATTCGGGACATATTTTTTTAGGTGCACCATCAAGCCAGAGTTTACAACAGACTGGGAAGAAATTTCACACATTACACAGGACCACCGATGTTCTGAGAGCAGATTGTATATTGGGGTTTGCATTGCCTCCATGTGGCCATTGTTGCAAATTGGTGTGTGTAAGCAATTATAAGACTGCTAATTTTTTTCCCAATAAGCACAGTAATTATATACGCCTTTTTCTTGTGGCTGAGATAATATACTTTCTTATTAAATAGGTCAGATGAGGATATTCAGTCCTGGGAATACTGACTAAGAGGGGGGGAAAAAACAAGTCCTTTTTATGTTGCAAACATCCTGACGAAACTCCCAGTGCTGTCAGAAGCAACATTTTTTTTGTATTTGAGACGGTATGACGTTGTTTGGGATTTTTTTCCATTCAGCCTGTGTGAAGGGTTATGTTAAAATATAATATATGTGTTACCTTTAAACATTTTGAAATTCTCACAGATCTGTTGAAGTACTACAGCCTGAGCCGCTCTTGTTACACTGGCGCCATCATATGCCTGAGCAATGAGTTTCTCCTTGTCATCATCGAAAAACGATTATTCAGACGTTCCAAAAGCGTGGTATCTATTAAATCACACATTGCACTTGCAAGAAAGAAAAATGGTCTTGGACTGCAGGCTACAAATCAAAATATCTTAACACATGGACCAGCTGTGTCTGTGTTGAAACAACAGTGGTCTGTCTCATCATCTTGGATGGTGACACATTTGGCAGTACTGAACTCATTCGATATATGTCCCCTGCCGACCACCATCATGCTCTCCAGCAGCTCATTCTGCACAGTTTTGACATGCCATTAAAAACAGCAGCAGTTTCCATGTGCTCCTCAAATACTCCACCTACTGAGGCTAGAAAATCCACTGAGCCACAGAAAACACCACGATTGTTTGAGCCCTCATATACATATTTTTATTGCATAGCTAACACAAATGCTCCACAGAACTTCACAAGGCTTATAAGATGGGCGAGAATGAGACACTTTCAGCTCACTTGACCATTCTGCTAGCCTATAAATTTAATCCAACAATGTGGGCACATTTACCTGCCCAAACTTTGAAAAATTTCACACAACTGTCAATATGGATCTTGGATGACCAATGTCTCTACACCCTTTCGAAAAGGTGGTCCATGTTGGCGGCTCCTTCAGTTCTCCACGCTGTGTTAACTGTGTTCCATCAGAGTCAAACAAAATTTACAACCTCACAGTTTACCAGTAATAGCAACTCTGAAAATCCTTGAAAATATGCCTTTGGTGAAGAAACTGATATTTCATTTTGGTCTTGGTTTTCTTCATCGCCAAAACTATAAAATCAAAATTTGTTTGATAATATGATTGAGTTTCTCCAAGCATGAGCAAGATTGACATTAAATGTGATTATATGCACTATGACTATTTGGACGTAACTGCTTGATATGTATGATGTAATTATGTGGGATGAAATCACCCTCTGGAACCTAGAAGTAATGTGCTTTTGTGTTTGAAAAGGTGACAATAAATTTTATTAAAGTCAGTCAGAAGGTCTGGGGTGATGAGGACTTTGACCTCTGTTGTCCATAAAGGGCGGGACGTTTATGGGTGTTACACTGAGTGGACAATGGACACTCCTCTTGAGTTGCTTGTTGCCCAGTGAACGAACCACGCATGCATAAAATCCTAATGGAATAATCTAATACTTGTAGTAGTAACACAAAACGTTATAAAAAAGATTAAATAATGTGGATACTTTTTCAAAAACACCGTATGTCTGAGCTTGAAAATGTCTGAGCCCACATGCAAATGTGTGTCGCCACTGTAGTCCCAGAATGATGAACAAACAGTTATTGTCCAGTTGGAGCAGGTGTGTGAGAAGTGTTCATCTTGTAAGGACATCCCTCTCTTCTGGAAAGCAAACACCGTGAGAGAGAAATGAGAGGACTGGTTGTTCTCTGCAGTTTGACGGAGTGCATATCACTTTAAAACCAAGTACCCGTCAGAGAAAAACTGAGCGAGGAACTGCAGTTCCTTAGTGGGAATGTTTGTGTTTGTGGCGCTGAGGCCAACGGGCAAAAGCTGCTTTGAGTTTCAGTTTAAGGAAGAAAGAAGAGAAAGAGGAGAGCGGCAGCAATGACCACTGACTGTGAGACTGGGCCATTGGGAATAACTGGGTTTGATCTTCAGGACACATCAAATAATTCCCAGGGAGACAGAAGACCAAGAAGGACAAAGATGACCAGGGTGGACGGAAATATTATCTACTGGAGTTAAATGGCACCAGGAGGACACTGAAAACTGCTGTTAAACTTATTTTATTGCCTGGTCCTCAGTGTATTTAACTTGAATTGTTCACCGAGAAAATAAAGCTCTGACATCTGGATTCCTCTCTGCCATAAACTCATCGTGTCATAAATGTCGCAGAGTTAGTTTGATAATGGAGGCTGTTTTATTAGGTCTAGACGACATGGTCTGTACGCGTCGAAGTCTGCTGTGGACTCTCACCTCCACAGCTGTCCAGCGAGTTTGTGTGCATGCCAGGAATCTTCCGGGGCCCCTGCGTCTATTTCATGCACACAGATGTGTTTCAAGACCTCTTTACCAGGTAAATGCCTACAATACACAAGAAACATGGGCTTCTTCATGGTTTCAAGCTGGCATCTTTCAGTACCCATCAACTGCCAATATATTACAATTACATTTGCACCTGGAAAACAAACTGTCATTAATAGATTATTTTGTCATTTCTGAGGAAGTTGAAATCAAACTTGGTTTGACTGAAGGTCAGACCAGGGTTAGAACTGTTTTTACTTGTGTTCATCAGCTTTTGCTTTGCAAATACTGTCTGCAGAGTTCTTTTGTTTGGCTAGCAGGAAGTTGTGTTGCCAGGCTCTTCATAAAGGAGCTTGTAACCAAGCTGTTAAGCTTGAATGTGTAACTATGGTCGTTAAAGAGGTAGATACTTAACAGTTGCATGGTTTTCTTGCCCAAAGTTATTTTCCTCCCTGAAAACTTAGAATTCTTATTTTGCCTGGTTTCCAAAGTTTCTGCAGAGCTCTTTCGTTATTCTAATTTCATTTTTTGGAGTGACAATGTCTCTTAGTTCTGAGTTTTTTTCAAGCAATGATTCAGCAAAATGGTTGATCAGCATTCACTTCAGCATGTTCAAATCGGTACTTGCTGCTTTCATGGAGCTATTAGTATTCCCTGGGCATCCCAGCTGCCCTCTATGCAGATGGCACCGCTAGAACAAACCCAGCAGCCTGAGAGAGAGGCACTCTCTGGGTCTGTGTGAGGACAAGGTTGCACTGCTTTGGTCAGTCAGGTCATTAGAACATAAAGTTTAACCAGACATCTCAATACACTGTGTGTATAACAATATATTTTTCCCCTGCCTGACATCAAATCACACCAAACTTGTTAAACTCTAGGTCAGGTAGAATTACTTAAATTATTTTTTTTCAGGAAATGCAAGAATAATAGAAGATTTTTCTCTCATTCAATTAATTTGCTTGATCTTTGAAGGAATTTCTTCTATGACTTGGGTCAAACAGTTTGGACATCAGTTCAGGTATGCAGGCCTACATTTCTTTACATGTCTTCTTTGGAACTGGGATCAGGGCTTGGTCATGGCCACTCAAAAACACTGATTTTGCCACTTCCTGGCAAGATACTTTTGGTAATCAAAATCCCATTGGTGCCAAAATCTTAACCTTCAGCCTTATGTCTAAAATCTAGTGCTTGGATATTTACAAATAATGTCTATTTGACATGATACCATCTACTTTGTTAATTGTGCCAGTCCCTTCTGCAGCAAAACATCCACACAACAGGATTCTGTCACCCCTATGCTTCACAGTTGGTTTGATGCTCGGGAGCTTATCCCTTACAATTCCAAATCATGCAATTGTTATTTCATCCAAATGTTTTAATTTTAGTTTTATTAGACCACGAGACATTTCTTTGAAGGACTTTGTCTTCCTGGCCGAGTGACCTTTCAGTCCATGTTAGTAGAGGACATGCTAACAAAAAACTGGATTTGAACGTAATTTAATGTCAAACAGTGAGGAAAAAAATTGATTCTGTGTACAATGTTTGCAACATATCTGGTTTCAACACACTCTCACACATACGCACCTCCACCATCTGGGCTTTCCTGCTTTTTTTTCTATGCATTCTTCTTTGAGGAGTAGCTGAGTTGTTGTTTTGACTTTTGCGTTTAAATGTGGTCCAATGTAGCTCCTTAGACTAAGCATCCTGAGGGAGGAGAACACAATCAGAGGAAGCTCCAATTATTTCAAACATCATTCTTAGTTAACACCCCCTCCTACTGTAGAGACACAGCCAATCAGTAAATCAGTTTTCAGCTACTCTTTTTGGAGTAATTTCACTGAAGAGTTTTGACAAGTTACCCGCCTTTAATATAGAGAGATATAGTCCAAGGTGGAGCGATTGATAGTGAAGAGAGTTGCATAGGTGGAGAAGGAGGGGGTCAATGTGTCAGGAAACAGGATGGAGATTCTACTGCCTTCTGTATATCAGTTAATAGGAAACACAGCCTTACAAAATCAAGACACACAGGAGAGAAAGACTGACATAAACTGAGTAGAGTTTAACTTTTTCCAACATATTTAGTCAATTTTCACTCTTTGTCTTCTTTTGCTCCTTTGAAGTGAACAAAGTCTTTCCATGTTTGTCGTAATTCCTCCCAACAACAAACTTTCTGTTTTTCCTTTCTAAATTCTTTCACTTTTTTAGTCCAGACTGCCACAAAAATCTATCTCCAGCATCAAAGTAGCCAAATCCATGTCCCTGGTCAAGACATTTTACAACACCTAAGGGTGAGCTTTACCTGCAGTGCTTTGCATCTTTGTGTGAAGCAGCATCCCGTGTGATGAAGCTGCAGTGCTACACCAACAAGCAGATTTTGTACCATTTGTAAAATGTTATTTGTTCGCACAAACATGCACTTATTTCCCTTTTGAGAGCTCAAACGTGTGTTTACACTTTCGCACATCAGGCTGAGTAATATTGACTCAACAGCCTCCAGTCACACATTTTCCTCTTGTGTTGTGACCCTGTAAAGAGGGTTAGAACCAACAGGCATGTCAGGATGGTGCTCTGCTGTGCTGCGTTAGACAGTGTCTCGAGGTACTTATTTGTCATTTTTTGTGTTGTTTGGACTCACACTGATCTCAGCTGTGTGCATTGTCTCTGTCCTTTGTCCTGCCCACTCCCCTTCTCCTTGCAACGCACACCCACCACCCACAGTCCCAAAAGGAAGGATATCCTGCAAGCAGCAAGTGCAAGAACTATAACAAACACAGGTGGTTGGGCTTCCTTTGACTTGCAAGGATTATACTTGCAGTGTATGGCAGAAGTATTCATATCCGTTAATACATTTTGTCAGGTAGCAAGTGCACAATGTAGGGCATAATTTTAAAATGGAAGAAGGATACAAAGCTTTATTTTTTATGGTTATACATTTTGGGCCCTTTATGCTGATATACCTAACAATGTATCAGTATCATTATGAAGGGGGATAATGAGCTAAAGTTCTTCTTTGTATAATAACCTTTTCTGTGAAGGCATCAGACATTTCTTAAAAAGACGTTAGTGAACAAACAGTTTGAGCATGCACAAGCTTTGAACATTACATGAAGTACAGTTTAATTCTGAAATCTGAAGCATATGCAACATCAGAAAACCTCCCAAGACCTGAACTGTGGACAGGAAAATTATTTATCTTCCACTCCACAAACCTGACACCAGGAAAAAAAATGCTATTGTTGAAATAAAGCCATAATAAGTCCTATTTGCAGTGTGCCATAAGAAATAATGGGGACACAGCAAAACAAGCTGAAGAGAGTGATCTGGTCAGATAAAACCACAACTAAACTTTTTTGACCCACATGCATGATGGTGGCAGCATTATGCCTTTGGGATAATTCTGTTCATCAGGGACAAATAAGGTGGTATGAAGATAAATGGAGAATTGTATGGGGCAGCATTTTTAGCAACATGCAGACAGATGGTTTAGATCAACAGAGTGGTCTAGTCAAATGTCAGACCCAAACATAACTTGTGCTAAGACTAGACAATTTATGGTAACAAATGCTCCTCCAGTCTGACAGAGCTGGAGCTATTTTGCGAAGTAGAATTGTAAATCAATTCAAACTGATAAAAACATGATAAAATCATGTGGGATTTTTTTCCCCATTTGACAGTTATATACTTTTGTGTTGGTCTAAAACAAAAAGACATGATTTTTAAATAGATGGAAAAAGTGTGAATAACTTTCTAAGGTGTCATACCTCAACATGTTATCTTCCACCTTACATGACATCTGTATTATTCTGTTCTGAATAAACTGAAGTGACGTGAACAAACTCTAGAGGGTTCATCATCCCTTTTTTAAAACTCAACAAGGTAAACATCCTACTTGCACTCATTTATTTCCTGTCACAACAATCACTATTAAGAGGAGCTGGCAGGAAGCTGGTTCTCCTAGAGGCCAAACAACAAACTTTGAGCCTATCTGTTTCCAAGCAACGGTACCCCAGTGAAAAGTTTTATACATATTTAAAGTCTCAAATCATGCCCCAGTGATCATGCATATTCATTATTCCCTGCCCTGCATGATGCACACATTGAAAAGCAGCCCAGTTAACTCCCACTGAACTCATCTGGTCTGGTTTCCTGTGAGAACAGCTCTGTCATAAATCATATTCCTTATCCCATTGATGTTCGCCGCTACGATGCAAACCAGAGACAAACAGACACTACGCATCTGAGTTGCTCACTTTTTCTTCTGTCATGGTCTCAGCTCACTTGTAGCTGTTCAATTAAGTTCTTTGTTTTGTGGTCTGTTGAGCTCTAGGCCCTCAAACACAGTGTTTTTTTTTCTCTAAGCAAGTAGATTTCTTTAATGTTGGGTGGTTGTCAGCAACCTTTACTCGGTTAGTTTTATGTAGTCCATCTGCCTCTCATGTTCACTTTATCATTCCTTTGTTCCCATATTCCACTGAAGCAACGGCCAATAAATGCCCCAGTGAGAGGTAAGTAAATACCCAGAATGGGGGAATCTGTGTTAATTCCCAGCTTTCCTTTGTTTTTTTTCCATGCTTCCCATCCAAGTAACTGTTGGACGAAGAATGACATTGAACTTGTGACTTCCTACTGAGGCATTTGGATCGTTACTGCAGTCTCCCAGCAGTCTTTACTCACTCTGTCAGAGTTATGATCTGAATGTGAAAATGTTTTTTTCCCACAACCAGCAGTGGGAACTTTTCAAAAGGGAGGCCATTTTCCCCAGATTTTCCCTCTGCTTTGTTTATTTGATCTGCAATTTTCTAATTTGTTGGCAACTACCTTGAGGCATGTTTGTGTTTGATATTCTTTCACACACAAACACACATACATGCCTGAAGCCCAGCTGATGGTTAAAGCCATTTACAGTGTCCCCCCGGGATACAGCTCTATTTGCATAGTTTGTCTGGAAAATATTTCCACTGGTCCATTCCCAGATTTATCACATGTTTAGTGTGTGAATGTAATTGTCAGAGATCGTTTGTGAAATTGAAGCCAAAGTTTACTGGCATCTGAAAACAGGGTAGAGAAAATGTCTCCTGTGGAGATTCCTCAAAAGCTAAATTGTGCACTTTACTTTTTACAGGCCACTCAATAAATCATAAATTGTGATCAAACATTAATCTTTCATACATATTTTGTTGATATAAACTTGTTTTATGAATAGCCTGCCGATTTACAGCATCTCAGCATTTTAAATGTTAAAGCAGCAGCAGCCCTTCAGTATAAATAGCTCACTGAGTCAACATAGTGGCTTCGTACTGTAAGCTTCTTAGTCATCCCAGACTCTTAATTTCTCTGGCGATGTGACAGTTTGTCAGATTGCTTGATGAGATGGCAACTTGTTTGATTAATTGCATGCTCATGCACTTAAATCCATGTTGTGCAACCAGAATCAGGTGTTTCATTCTCTGAGTTTACTTTCTTTCTATAAATATCTTCAAAATTTTACATAAGAATACCCTATTACGACTATGTGCGAGACGTTTCTGAGTATCATGCAAATTTATTCAAAGTAGAAAACCAAGAAATTACATTTACACAATGAGTGCAGCCTACATATACTGCAATGTGCTTTTGCTGGAGTGGTGTACAACCAGACTTTACGAAGCATCCAAATTTTCCATTTCCCACACTTTCAACCACTAAAATTAACATGTATAACCTTGCTCGTTTATTAGTGAATCAGTCTTTTTGTGTGCTGTGTTTGTTTTGAATCTGCTGTTTAAACAGGGATGACCAGTGACTGGTGTCAAATTTGACCTGTGCAGTGAGCACTGAACCTCTTGCAGACTGCAGCCAGAAACCGTGTTTGATTTTGGTCACATTTTAAAATGATTTATTTGATTCACTGTAAACCAGGTCAACATTGAACAGCCTAGATGGTATATATGACAAGCACCCGTTTAAACCTTCTAAGCGTTTCTCAGTCTAAGCCAAAGTGAATATAATATGAGTTTTCTTTAAGGTGGTCACCTCCAGTTAAATGGTCTGATAGATTTAACTATGGCATTATTTGTGAGAACGTAAGAGCTTACGATGTTTTAAGTTCAGAGGTTAGGGACTCGGTGTAGAATGGTAATCCCAGAGGATTACCACGGGAATCTGGTAAATATATGAGGAAATCCCTCTGAGGCACTCCCAGATCCTTTATTTCAATTGATATAAAGGATCATCCTCCAATTTTGGGTCTATGTGTGTTTGCCAAGTAGAAGTTTGGTCAGCTTTAAAAGATTGGGCAACAAATTTTGGTACTGCATCTATAACACAGAAAAACACAATATGTACATGTACACATTTGTCAAAACCTATGCACGTTAAATATTTATTCATCATTTTAAGCTTTAAATAAACAGTTCAAAAAATAACAATCTGAAATGCCACCACTTGCATAATAGAAATAAGTCAACCCCCTTCACATCTGTGACTGTGATTGATGGATAGGGTGTTTTTATTTACTGAGCTGACACTTTCTACCTATGCCTTCAGACTCTGGCTCTACTTGAAGCCAAATGGAAGATATTTAATACCCTTACTGGTGACGGGATTCCCCTTAGACTGGAGAAATTGCGCTCACACTCGCACAGAGAACACACACAGCTGCCAAAGGGCTCTCCCTGCAGATGAGCCGGGTCATTTTTCATTACCCCACCTCAGAGGAATCAGGCGTGCAGAAATGGAGCTCTGCTGCAACAAGCCAACACTATGGATTGATAAATCCTGATTGCAGAGCACTGTCGAGGGGATAACAGTTCCTTTTGGCTCCACTGTTTGTCAATATTTCAAAATAGATGCTGGATGAAGAAGGAATGTCTCAGTCTGCACTCTGCTCACTTTGTCACATCAGATCTCTCATCACCAGCTGCTTTTTAATATTACTATTATTTATGATGTTTCCTCTATATACCTGCCAACTTTATCTTCAGTTTTTTTCTCTTGTGTTCTCTTTTATCCATACAAATGCATGAAAAATGCATTTGTATGGAGTAGCTGGAATGAGCAGAAGGGGGTTTATATTTTTTAATGTGATTTCAAGTGTTTATCAACATTCTAATCTAGACCAAGATTCTCTTTGCTATCCTGGGATTGTGATACTGTCATGAGCTTCTTCGTATTATATTATGAGAGAAAATTTTTCTGGGTATCTTACTTCTACTTTTTGTGTTACAGTGCCTCCTCCTGCAAATGTCCTACATTTCTGGCACAGTGTGCATGCAGAGTTGGCTGGGCCTTTTAAAACATTGTCATGACAACTTTTGTTTGCCTTTGGGGGAGAGGCTGGCACTCGGTACATATTTGAACATCACTGTGTGGATGGACTGATAGGTACTGTTGTTAGTAAATTCAGTGATTTCTATGTAGCCCAGTGAAAGTAAGGTTCTTTGAAAGCATAAAAATGTGATAAGAGTTAAAGTTAAAAAAATGCTGTACAGTACAGTCAGTGCATTTAGCAGTTTTGACTTTTAATTATTCTAGTCATATGTATAAGTTGAGATACAATGTTCAATATTATTGCTGTTTTATGGGAAATTGTACTTATTTTTGGCAACAAAAAATATGTAATGTCTATGGAACAACAAAAATTAACCTATATATTTCTTCTATGAATAACTTGCCACGTCCTACACCCTAATGGCCAACATTGCCTTCTTTGGATGAAATGCATTAAAACTGTGACAGACAATTTAGATAGTGTCTACAATGATTTTTCACTAACGTCAGTGTAAGGAAAGCTTGACACAGTCCTCACTTTTCGCTGTGAGATGTTTGAGGGGTTTCTTGCATGTCACCGGTAAGGTTAAATCCAATTGGGTCAGTTCTGGACCACTAGCATATTCTTCTGCGAATATCTAATTATTACTACCCACTTAGCAGTGTGGGTAGTAATATATGATTAAATGCATATATACATTTAATCACACATGATGACAAAATCAGTCAAGAACATAAAGTGCCAGGATATTTTTCGCCTGTGCTTTTCTGCTATTTAGACCCCAGGGTACATGCTTAATTAGGTAGAGGAATGCATTAAAACTGTGACAGACAATTTAGATAGGAGTATGCAGACAGTTTTATTTATTGCCCAACAAGATAAATGAGTAGAGTATTTGGTATTCTATTCAGTCAAAGGGTAAAAAACAGAGGCTATCATAGCTTGACTGCTCAACTTCAGTCAGTGCCCTTGAGTTTATGCCACAGGCTTTGTGTCTAACTTTGAGGGTGCAAGTGTGGGAGTAAGTCTATGTTGATATATGAACACAAGCTAATACAGAAAATATTTCAGTGAAGCAGAGGTCAAGAAAGAAGATTGTCCTAAACTTCAGGTTTTTGTCTATTCTAAGAGAAAAGCATAGACATTTTACTGATTTATGTGTGACAATCAAAGATAATCTACATCACCGTGTGTCTGTGCATGCATTGCTGGTGGTATCAGTGAACACCGGGTCACTGGGGTCTACAGTGATTTCTCCCTGTATGAATTATAAATGAAGACAGGAGGTGTAGGGGTAAGATATCCTTCCCCGGTGAGCGGCTCAAACAGCCGGTCTACATCCTTGCAGATCAGCCCCAATAATCACTGAAGACTGTGTTTCATTTAGATAAAAGTCCAGAGTACATGACATCACTGGTACATGCTCATCACAAAACACTGTGCTCACCTCATTAGTCTGTCTGGAGTGTGTTCACCCCCGCTATCTCAGCATCACTCCAGTACCCTCTCTCGGGTTCCCAGGTCTGCTCAGATCTATTTAATCAAAAACACAGAAGACAGAGAATATGTTATGATAGGAATGCCTATGTAGGCATTTAAAGAATGTGTAAGAGAAGGAGACAAAGTAACATCAAAACACGTGTTCTCATAAAAATATAATTAAATTGAAAGAGACATTGGTGGTGCTCATGTGCAGATCCTTGAAATGACAACAAGCTGCAGAGTCTGTATGTGCACCAATGTGATGATTTTCACTTAGATGGACGCACTGTGGCGCTGTGTCACAACGCTGTGCTCATAAAAGGCTTTTATGGGTTTGGATATTATCACAAGAGACGTATGCGGTAGACTCGTTTGAATTTTTTTCTTCTCTATTTTAAAAATAAATCCAGGCACTGCATGAGTGTTTGTGCACATCTATGTGACCCAGTATTTGTCTTACATTAGGGAAAGCTACAGAAACCATAGTCAAAACAAGATTATGGAACAGATAAAGAATAAAATAGAGCATGTGTAGACATAAAAACACTCTTGATACAAGTGAGACTTTTAACAGACTTTTTTATGGAAGTATAGTATTGTCATTGCAGTAGGACATTCTATTTTGACAACTAGAAACATCTTGTCATGTTTTATGCAGACAACATACTTGTCTGAATCTAACAACACCACAATTCAGTGAGCACTTAATCAGGAGTCATTATTTAAGAGCTTAATTAAATGGCACGAATAAGCGTTATGACTTAGCTGTATCTGACCAATGCATAAGAACTAACTCACCAGGGGTTTTCATACAAAATGCAAACTATTTTCTGAACCTATCTTCTTGAGCAAACTGTTGGTTATGGCTATTCTAAATGCTTTAAGTCTAAAGACCTTTTCACTAATAATAGAAATTGTATTGCCAAGGTTGACTGGTTGGTCAGTAGCTCAGAAGTGGCCAGAGAAGAACATAAACTCTGCAAAGTGATAGCTTTTAATGAAAAATTATAATTAGCTAATAGTTCATATCAGCAGGTCAAAACTTCCCAAAATTTGAAGATCAGTAAACATTGCACCTAATAGGTTGGTAGTTTAGGGTCTCCTGGTTTCAAATGGCTTGAAAATATGGATCAAACAAAATCCACCGTACAAGGTGACTTCATATACCATGCTGGAAACTTCAACATTTTACAGCAGTATCCTCAGTGAAAGTGTCTGGGTAGTATTTTAAAAGGGATAATCATCTCCATCTGTCAGTTTCACTCAGTGTTGTGATTCTACGTAAAAGCTGTTGTGGGGGGTTGTGGTCGAAGTCTGGGAATGGAGGTTTGTTGTAAAATGAGAACAAAGCAGAGCTGAATACAGAAATATCTCCAGTTTGTTTGAAGAGCCAGTATGTTTCTGATTTTCAAAAGGGGGCTAACTGGAACCATATTTCTGTCCAAAGGACACTCGTGGGTAAGGAAGGGTGGAGTGCAGAGACACATACACATGCATGAATGTGCAGACTTGAACAAACAAAACAGATCTATCCCGGTCAGTCGTTTCTCCAGACATTCCTGGCTGCCTTTCCATGACCCTGCCTGCTCCATTGCACTATGCCACCTCCCAAAATGCAACGTAAAGAAGGCAAGGTTTTCAAGCTGGTCTTTGTTATTATCATTATTATTATTAAATCCGATTGAATATTCTAGTGCTTTTATGTATCTTCTATTTTAATCTCACCTGCAGCACACTGGTTGTGGGAGCTGCACCATTAATAGCACTGACAAGTCTCTTCGACTCTAGAAATCTCATTGTCATAAATTACATCATGAGACTGTGTGTATTAGACTGTGCTCGCTCAGAGTGTGAGGAGCTCAAAACTGTTTATTTGGCCTCCATAAATATGAAGGGAAAGCAGACAATTGAAGGCAGAGCAACTCGGAGAGCAAACAAGTGTGTCAGTCTCAGCTGCCTACCGCAGCGTCCCACAGACAGGGTTGAAGGGATTCCTCATACTGCCTCAATTAACCGTTCTGTTGTGTTTATATTATGCGTCACCGTTAGAAGTTAACTTTTTGCGGAAAGATCATAAGCCGCATTGACCCACCCCAACTGTTATGTGCTCCCATGGTCAATACCAGCTCGCCGTTCAGATCTTTCCACTCTGGACACAATCTTCTGTTGAAATATACCAGATCAACACCTCATTACAACCACAGTCTAGCTAAAAATAGAAGTCCACTGGTTCCATAACAAGTCTCAACTGTTAGTCATTCACTCTGATACTGCCTGCAGGTCCTAGAAAAGGCAGGAAGGGAATAATAAGGGTAGATGTTTAAACACTGAAAAGATTGGATTCACAAAATCAGAAGTATTTTTTACAGTTTCTTCCACCCATGCTTCCTGTCTTTCTTTCCTCCCTGTGATAGTTGCTGAATTTACCTATTCTCACTCAGACTCCAACTCTTATCCATTTCAAACAGGAACTACAATCCATCAGCTCATGCTGGCTTTTTCCCCTGTCCTCACAAGCCTTGTCCCATTTCCCCACAGAGAACTTTTCCCTCATTTCCCCCCATCTTTCTCCATTTAACAACTAGGTCCTTGTCAAATAAAACTGAGGAAGCTACCAATAAAAGTGGAGATATGCATTTAGTTGGAGAATGAAAAAGAGAAGCCGGTGTTTATATTAAAGCCAAAGAAAGAGTCATCTGGAGATGTTTAACTTGGACAGGCCAGTTTCCGGTGTCTGGAGCAGGCCAAAAATATCCCGAAACAGAAAAATCCATCTAAGAGGGTGGGGGGAATACTCCTCCTCATTTCTCATGTGACCCGCTACATTTAGCAAACTAAGCTAAAATTTGGGATTGCAGAACGCTCTATGGCAGAAACAGCATGCCAAGAACATTAAATTTAACTGTGTCTTATTGCTTTCTTATTGCTTAACGTCAGAGAAGAAAATATTTCTGGTGAAGATTAAGTCCAAATTTCAGACATGTTGCAACTTTGTCTAAAATGAATAAGTCTGAGAAGGCAAACAAATAACCTGGTCTCTGATGCTGCATGCTTTACATATGGCCTTACACTGTTTTCATAAGGGAATGACATTTTCATATATGAAAAAGACTTCTTGAGTTATTCAGACAAGCTTGTGTAGTCTTTCAGGCTTAAACTTGCTTCTACCCTACACATTTCTATTTATTTGTCATACCGTAGAACTGGTTGTATTTTGGCATTTTACCATCTTGTGGTTTCAACGGCTCCTGCACAGCTGTGTAAGGGGAAAACAAGTGCCCAATTTAGGCTACAGAAAAAAAAGAAGAAAAAAAATCTCAGACTAACGGCTGCAGTGGGCTGAAGGCCACTACTTAGCTCCAACCTGAGAGCAGGATTTGTGTTTTGGTGTAGACAGGAAAAAATGAGGTTGAATTCTCAGCCAGTGAAGATGCAGACTGTGTACATCGTCAACAACTCTGATCCAGAGGCTGTTTTTGAAATGGGCAACATGGTTCACCTTAAAGGACACCGTTTTACTGAGAATAACTTAGCTGTCAGATGTAAAGCTAGGTTCACCCCATAGTTGTACCGATATTGATGTACTGACACTGATGTTGGTGTCTGAGCTGTGTTTCCTTTTTAGCAGTAAAATAAACTTTTATTTTGTAGTTTTTTTTCATGATTTTTATTTTTTGATGTTCCAAAAAGATGCAGAGGAGGAGGACTGAATTTGATCAAGTACATTAGATAATCAACTGTACTCATTTTGCTTGTAGGATTTTTAGCACATTCTGTATTTTCTATTGGGGTTTAGAACATTTTTAAAATATTCCATGAACTATATGCAATCAGCAATGTGTGTATGTATCCTAACTCTGAAACCTCCAAAAAGGCTGTCAACATTCCCCTTTAGTACGGTAAACTTTGCAGAGGGTCTAGACTCTCAGCTATGGAGAAAGGATTGCTTCTTTAAGTTCCTGGAGGCATGGACTCTGTTGAAGTTTTACATTTTACCCAATCGCTAATGTTAGTCTGTGAGTTATGTAATGCGTCAGTTGGACACTATGTAGCTTACCGGAAATTGCCTGCGCTGTTAACCATTCTCTACTGCTGAGAGAGAAATGCCAAGTCAAACAAGATGGCTGTTAATATTGAAGGTATTGAGGTATTGAATGGCTCCGTTCACTTTTTCCGCTGTCATTGCTGACTTCAGGCAGACGGCGCAGAAAATCGACGTCATCGTTCACATCTTCCTCCTCTTCGCTGATTGGCCCGGTACAAATTAGCGGCATAGCGCAGGAAGGCTAATGCCAAACGGAGACATTAATCCAACTACAGTGAAGTTAGTAAACTACTGATGTCCTTTTTAAATCAATATCTTTAAAAATACAAATGAAATTCAGTGTAGTTTAGGAGGCTACTTTTTTCTTTCTTCTTTCAATACTACAAACTATGGATGTTGGAATTAAAGCTCGTTGTTATTTTAGTCATGTAAAAGACAGACTTGGTCCTCTGCAGACTCAGATGTCTGGGTGTGTGAGCACACACCTCTACACACACACACCCACCACCCACACACACACACACACACACACATTGCACAGAAAGGTCTGCAGTTTCTCATGGCTGAGAGCCGCTGCAGAAAATTCCCCCTCATCTCCTCCTCTCCCCGCCCCCACATCTTGCCTCCATTATTCCCGTGTTTTTGGAGCAACCGCCGGTGACAACGAGAAGCATCGCTGACAACCGCTCGCATTTTTTTCCCTCGCCAGGCTCCCGCTTCCCTGCGCCCCTGCAGCTCTTTGACCGTTGGTACGGTCTCCCGGTTCTCCGGTGCGCGGCGGCGGCGCCGCCGGTACAGCGGGGGCTGCCTGGCCGGGAGGAGGCGGAGGGAACGAGCAGTGTGAGGCTCTGTTTTCCGAAGGAGGGATGAGAGAGAAGCCAGCCTCCTCTGCCGCGCTTAATTAGCGCCCAGTTAAAATATTTTTAAGTTGGAACGGGGAAGGATACACGAGGCAGCGCCGCTATAGGACACAGCCAGCTTGTAACTAACGTTAACTAATGGGCTCAAACATGGATGCTGATGTGTCTCCTCCTCTAGGCCGGCCAGGAAAACGGATGTTTTTCGATGATTTTGTGGCTGGAACTCGACTCGTCTCTTTCTGGGATTAATACTCCGGGTTTTTCCTGTCTTCTCTTGGTACAAGTGTTTCTGTTGGAACCTCGCAGGAAGCTTTTGTTAGCAAGGTAATGTGGTAATAACGTTCCTTTCTGTCGCAGATGGTCTCCAAGCAGCATCCCCAGTTCACTGTCTGTGTGCAGCTGCTATTTTGGTGTCATCTTCAGGGAAATTATGTGTACGTTGAACGGCATTTCGTGTTTTTGTGCTCTTGTTGTCAAATGTTGCTTTTGAGGGCGAGTGTTTACTCATTTCTGTCAAGTGATGGCTGAGAAACGTACCACCAACCAGGATGAGGTGATGTAGCTTCTCCATGCTTGTCACAATCCCAACAGTGACATTGCCATGCATTGTTGACCAGGAGTCACTGCACATTTTGATGTGAGTAAAGTTAATCAATATTCAGTCAATCTAAAATAATAATAAAAAAGAAGTCCATCTAATAATGTAATCTTTTATAAGTTTGTGGCCTCCATAATTAGACATGTGTCTAATATTTCAGTTTAGTAACAGCAGGGTATTAATAAAGACTTTATTGCATTTGGTTTGGTGGTGAATAGTAGATTAGGACCATGTGCAGAATACCACAAGAAAGTTGGTTAAAGTAAAACCAATAGGAGGGGGGTTGTTTCTAGTAGATTGAACCCCCTAATTTAAGCCTCAGGGCAGAGATTTGTTACCTTGACATTAAGGTTTGCACTTTTCCAAGGTCCTTGGCGCTGATTGCCAGTGAGTGTGTGTGCGTGTGTGTGTCTGCATTGCACTTTAACACACTACACTTTTTAGTCGTTTTTTAAGTAACTACTCACATTCGGTCTGATTTGTTGTGCTTCTTTAATTTGATTATGACTTTTGCTTCGCCAACAGAATTGCCCTTCATTGCAGGTAGATTAGAGTGAAGCAAGGTTCAAAAATGTAAAAACTAAAATGTCACTGACTGTGTGCACAGGTGCACCCAATCTAAGCAATCAAACAATGTGGGAGCTGTGTGTGTGTGTATGTGTGTGTGTGGGTGTGTGTGTGTGAGGGGGAGGTAGACCCAGTGGACATTTGCTCAGAGCATTCAGGACAGTTCACGCTGGGCTGAGAAATAAGACATCTAAATGGCAGTTTTCTCCCTTCTTTTTTCCCATCGTCTCTTTGCTAAATCTCAGGCTGACTCTATTACGCAAGCAGAGATGAACTGTGAGAAAGTAGACATGTGGTTTGGTTTAACTCTTATGGTAGTGGTGTTTTTGACACACCCTTACTAAATTGCATATGCCCCAGGTGCCCTCCTGGGGAGGAGTTACAAACCAGTTGCACTTGTGTTTTTGTTGTGTTGAGCGATGTTTTGGCAGGTCTTCTCATCAATTGCTTGAGCTATTGTTGGATTTTTGTTTTTCTTTTTCTCATGCACTGTCCTCCACCCCACTGCATCCCCATCTTCCAGATGTGAAGGAAATGTGGGAGGAACTGGACGGTGTTTGTGGTCCTTGGGGTGCCCGCTTCCTGTTAAATCGTGGAGGAACTCCACATGTGCTTGAAGCAGCAGGATACAAATACACATAGGCAGAAGCATGCACTTCATACTTCTTTGAGAGTTGGTTAATTTGAACCGTGGTTGCTGATTTTAAATGCTGCATTTATTTATTTTTTTTTTGTTTTAGTCTTTGGTTTGATTGGGTTTCAGTGTACAGTGCAAATCTTTCTAGCAGGTTTGGCTTTATCTACTGAAAATATTTGCTGTAAATTGCTTTCCACGATCGGTGGTGTCTTCTTTGCACCTGCGTCACTGTTTACATTTGAACTTAGGACACAGAGACTTACAGTAGATATATCTTTGTCTCTGCAGTTCAGCAAGCCTGATGTCAGCAACACAGACAAACACTCCTGTGAGCTTTGTCAGCATCACATACTGTAACTCTACAGTTTTTTAACTGTGGTTGCTTGTGTACTGATGGGTAATGGATTTCCTGCTCGTGGAGGAATGTTAAAAATGTGCGAGAAGGACAGAGAGCAGGATACTGTCTCTGTTAGCTTATTGTGTGTAATTCAGATAACCTTGTTAAAACTCCACTGAGATACCACACAGACACACAATTTTCAGTTTGTGCCCCAAGTTGCAACATGTTGTACTGCTTGGTGTAGAGACTGTTGATGTTTAATACACTGAAGTAGGTGGACAAGTAGATCTAAATACATTTTTAATTCAGCAATTGGTTGATTAAATGTCTTTTGTCATGGTACACATTTTAATTCCAGTTATTTACTGGAATCACAATTTAATCGTACAATATAATGCATGTAATTTCATCAGTTCACAGTAGTGACTTATAAGAATCAGATAGGTTCTGGGACATATGCCTTGACATGGGGATCTTTACTCCATTAAGTACCACACAGCACATTCTTCTCACTGATTTCATTTAGTTTCTAGAAATAAAGTTACCAGTGGAAATTAGGCTTGGAAGATTAGACCTGAATGAAAATTAGACAGTAAGTTAAGCCTCTGCACATTTGAATTATTAATTTACCTAAAAGATATAGATCATAATTTTAAATAAATGATGTCCCTTTTACTGATAATAATTGCATTACTTCTTTTATATTTTATACGACACATTATGACTTCACATATTGGTTTTTATAACAAACGCACACTAAATACAGACTTATACTGTAAACTAATGCCCTCAAATCCGATGACTCCAGAAAAGGAAAGTATCCAATTACCACACTGTTAATTTCTGAGTCAATCTTAGGATATCAGTATTTTGAATTTCTGGACTGCTTAAATGTCTCTAGAAGTACCATACATACTTTTGAAATGAGTAAATAGTTTATTTATAAGCAACGAAAGTAAAAGCAAACTTTCTTCATCTTTCCCCAGATGACAGAGGGAAGGCGGTGTCAGGTCCATCTACTGGACGACAGGAAACTGGAGCTCCTTGTACAGGTGAGTTCCTCTTCTTTTTTACTATTTTATAGATGCTCATTTATTGTAACACAATGGAGACGCAGTTCTCAATGTCTAAAGGGACTTGTCTATGCTGACTAAGGGAAATCTGGTGAGGAGTAGGTGACACTGCACTTTCCTCCTGCTCATCTGATCTCTCTGTTCTTGGCAGAAGATGAACACTGCAACACAGATTTGATCCTTTGAGAGTTATTCTTCCAATTCGTCCTGTTCTTGCATTTCTTCCCTATCCAGAGGTTAAATTTGTGTCTTTTGTTGATTGCTGATCACTTCCATTTTCTCTTCTCTGTCTGATGAGACTAAAGTATATTATGTTCTTTGACTCGTTGTCGACTGGCTGTTACCTAATTTTTGTGGGAAGACTTTAAAAAAATTGAAGAATTTCTTTGCAAAAAGAAATGTAAGATGGACGTTAAGGAATGGAGAGAAAGGAGATGACACTAAGGCATGAAAATAGAGTGGAGAAAATGAAAGGCAGGGCTGAGGATAGGTCTGCTGACTTTCTGATTTGATTACTCTGCCAGAACTGATCCGCTCTTTTAAATTGGTAGTTTGTTCTGCTGCTCTCCCTCTTACTGTCTCTCTGTATTCCTGACTTAACCTCTCATCGCTCTCCGTCCCATACCACTACCACCGTTTCTCATTCTCATCTGACTTTCTCTATAGTCTCACTGAAAATACCACTTATCTATTAAACTGTACTCTTCTTATTCTCTTTATGATTAGAAGTTAGCACTGTCTTACAAACATAATTTTTAAGTAGCATGTGCACAGGCCCGATTACAGATATCGAAAGGATTAAAATGTCTTGTTTTCCTTCAGTGTATATAAAATAGCGTGGAATTACAATTAACATTACGAAGGAATGAGACAAAGGCTTGAAATATTGATTCAAAAAACAAACAGCTCTCCCTTTTCCTATTCCTTTTGTGCCTCTTTGTTGGGTGAATGTTTTGTAGTTTGGTACGCTGTTAGTTGGACCAAAGAGAATCATTTTCTTTTCTTAGCTTTTTAATGAACTAAGAAAACTTGAGTTAGAAATGATGTTCTTACTTTACATTA